TCCGAGATCACATGTGATCTCACACATGAAGTTTGTCTGGCGCTGGAGAGATGATTCACAAGCAGATGAACACACTGCACTTCTGCCCCTCACAGCCTCACTTTCATTCCTTAAAGACAAATATGCATCTATGGGCTTCCACAAACGTCAGTCACATGGTCTACTCATTGGCGTTTGGGGTGATTTTTCTATCAGTATCAACCCCATAAACTCCAAACGCCGTCTTCATGTGTGTGAAGCTTCGACAGGAGTGTGACGAGCGAGAGCAAGAGTCTTACCCAAACGAGTAGAGCTGACTGGGCTTCTTCACGCTCACCCAGAAACTCAGCAGACATGTGATCAGACTGAGGGAGACAGCACACATTAAACACACAACAACTCTCCGTATCTGAGCTCTGAAACACACATTTACTGCACGATACGAGTCCTGGAGCCACGAGGCCTTGAACATGAACAGAGCAAACATTCCCCAAGGACAGCGAGTGTGTGTGTGTGTGTGTGTAATAAACACATTACAACTGTTTTACTGCATATCCCCATATATGCACTTCATAATAAACGCTTTACCAACATCTCGTTATTAAAAAAAAAAGATGTTTTAACTTCATACCATCTTGTTATTACGACATAATTGAGTGTAAATAATATGCATGTGGCAGCAATACACCACTGTAATTTTGGGTAATTTTCTAAGCAAATAGTGGTTTATGTAATTATTTGTGATTATTTTCTTTAGTTAACCCTCAGGTGCTCTTCGGTCATTTCGGACAGAAATATTTGCTGTTTTGAAATTTTAAAAATCACAGCTTCATCACAATGTTACGAAACTTGGTGACTTTTATGACGTTATGTATGTGAACACAAAAAAATTGAGGTCATGATCTGAGCATGCTAAGTGGCCGTAAAAAAAATGGTCATTTTTGACCAAAGAGCAAAAGTGTGACTGACCATAGGAAATGAATGGGAAATTGACAAAAAAAAAAACAAAACAAAAAAAAAATTCTCTGAATTTTTGTATGTACAATCTACAAATTGGCCACAATTCTAAAAAAAAAAAAAAAAAAAAGTACACCGCAGGAAAGGGGTGACGCTCTACATACAACATCTAGAGTGCAAAACAGACACACCCACCAACACACACACACATACCAATAAATTTTGATTACAAAAAGTATGTTTTGAATTTTTAAAAATTACAGCTTCATCGGACTGATACGAAACTTGGTGACTTTTATGGCATTGGGTATGTGAACACACAAAAAAATTGAGGTCATGATCTGAGCATGCTAAGTGGTTGTGAAAAAAAATAGTCACACTTGTGGTCTTTGGTCAAAAATGCCCCCCATAGGAAATGAATGGGAAATTGTAAAAAAATGAAAAATAAATAAATAAATAAATTTGTCAATTTTTGTTTATAAGAAATCGTTTTTGAGATTGTTTCAACTATATATTCAAATCCACCGACAACAAAAAATGTGTTCATAAACAGCTGGGGGAATTTACATGCCTCCCCATAGAGAGCTGTACATGCCATCTAGTGGTTACACCATGATTCTACACTTTTTCTCTATACTGTAACCAGATGGTGCTAATTTTCTTCAAAAAATTTGTTTTTTTCTGAAGGCCTAGACTCTATATTAAACTAAAATACTGCATTAATATCTTTTTGAAAAAAAAAAATTATATATTTATTTCCATGGCAAAAATAAACCATAAATATTGCATAAATATTAATAAATTCAATTAAATTGTCTCAAAATACTAAATTAAAAAGAATAAATATTATAGAACAAAAATAAATTGCATTGGTTTTACTGGGATGGAGAAAGTTTCCCTTTTAGGTGTCCGGTCACTTTTGACCGGGAAGATAACAAGTGCGACTCCGAAACGAAGAGCACCTGAGGGTTAAATACTTTTTCAAACACTTTAATGTCATTAATACTTCAACTTAGAAATCTAAAGATGTTTTGTTTGACTTGTGATAACTTTTGAATCTCCTTTTTACACATCTGTTCTCAACACTCGTCGACGACCACGACTTACACAAGTGTAAATGTGGAGCAAGCTTGTGTATATAGTGTGAGAATGTGATAAATGCACGTACCTGAAGAGGTCGAAGATGGTGAGGTACGTGTAAGCGGTCAGGGCTGAAACAGAAGACAGGTGTGTGTGTTGAGGACATGATGAACTATACAGCCTGTGGCTCTGCACAGCATGAAAGATGATGCCTTGCATTAACCCGACTGAAACTCAACATGCTCGTATATTTAATACTCCATCAGTACGGTTGGTGCTGCAGTGCGTTTACTGTAATCATCAGCCCAGTAGCGTTTAGTGTTTATAACATCATGTCAGATTTGAAACATAAAGTCTGATTGGGATTATGGCTAAGGCAAAGCTAAGGACTCACTAATTAAAGATGCATCTGAAACTGTGTGTTGAAGAGGACCGACTGCATTTGTGAAACTCATGAAACTCATTTGTGTTGTATTGCCCACGGTATGACGACTTTAGAAATGCATTATTTGGTGAATTGTTTGTTAAAGAGTCTGAGATGTTCTGGAGTAAGGGCGACAAGATGAAATGGTTGCTTAAATCGGCAGCTTTTGTTAGACTCGTTTATAGTAATAAGCTCACCCTTACGAAAAAGAAGTTTATTCAAGTGTGCCATTAGTATACTTCTTTTAAACTAAAAATAAGAAAGTATACTTTCAGTTTATTTTTCCTGTACTTCTCAGAAGTATACTTCAAATTACACTTTAGTGTACTTGACTTATACTGAGAGAAAAGCAAGTATATTTGTCCTGTTCTTGTACTCAATCTTTTGATCCAGAAATACTTAAAAGTATAATTAAGTATTCAAAGTATACTTGTATAAGTATTACAGTAAAAAAGTAAACTACTAGTATACCCATAAATTCACTTGCAGTACACATGAGATACATAATTATGAACTAGTTCTGTTCTTACTGTTACACTTATAGTACACTTAAACATATACTTTTATGTACTAAAAGCAGTATTAAAATAGTACACTTACAAGTTTACAACTAGTACATAGTGAAATTAGTATACTTACTACATAATGTATACTTAAAAATACACTTGAACATTACTTAAGTATACTACATAAAATGAACTTGAAATATACTTCTTTTTCATAAGGGCATGTATGTGATGCCTGCTGTCTGACTGGTTGTATTGGTGTGTTACGAGCACATCAGGGCTGGACGTACAGTAGTGTGCAACACAATAATAAAAACTATTCATTAAGTCATATTTAAGCTGTGAAAATTTCCCTTCAAAACACAGACATTTCCATTATTAAAAATACTCCATACTCAGCGTTCAGATTTCACGTCCAAAATATTCAGTCCGTTTAAAAATAAAATAGAACCTATAATTTCCAATTTTCAGTCCATTTAACTTCACTTTACAAACTCAGCGACTCAAATCTGCAGGAAAAGCATTGAATGAAAAAAGTGTGTGTGAAATGTTTTGAATGGAAATATTCTCAGCTGAAATAAACAAGCATGTTGAAATGCACTGCAATGCAAGCTGGGTAATGTGCAGTTCTACAGGCTTTACTGGTTCACCAGTGTTTGTTATTATTGTTCCTCCATAAATGAGCACATGATGAGCTGATCCGGAGTCTGTGGAACGGGTCGCACCGCTGACACACACCAGCGCCCACACACACACACACCGACCTCGCAGGAACACGAGAGCGAGCGCCGCGGAGCCCGTGCCCGAGGGACGTAATGACAGATGATGCGTGAGTAACCCGGAGCGGCGACACCGAATACACACACTCGTGTCCAGTACAGCGCTCAGATTAAGGAGACGTGTGTTTGTTTACAGAGCTGATCGATGAAGAGGAGGAGGAGATGAAGACGCAGTGGGAAACCCAGCCCGGGTCTCTGTCTGAATATTTAATGAGAGCATCCAAACACATCTGATCGTCCCCGAACCCTGACCTTCAGCCGTCCCGCGGCGGCCTCGTGGGAGCCGAGCGCCATTAGCATCGGGAGCCTGCTAGCGCCCGCCGCGCGAGTATCCGCTTTCTCTGCTGCGCTCAGCTGTCCTCGGGCAGGAACACGCATCGAGCGCCGGCTCCGGTGTCGTCCACACATCAGATCGCTCCAGATGTAAACTAAAAGCTTTATTGACAAACTACAGGCCAACACCTGGCGGGAGGAAGTGGCGAGTCAGAGAGGAAACCGAGACCGGAGAAGGACCGATACACACTCCTCCAGCCCTTCTCGTCACACACACACACACACACACCGGGAGAAAGACTGATGATCCAATACACACCAACCCTTTCCGTCACACACACACACATAATGGCAAACAACGTCGGAGCAGTGCATGATGGGACTTTGAAAGGTCAGGGCGCGAGTGCAGAGCTGTGATTGGCAGATATTAATCATCATCACAGGTTAAAGAGCGTTAGATGATGGCGAAGGCTGTGAGATATCTCTAGAGTTTAACAGTTGACTTGTTTAGAAATGGAGTAGAATTAAAGTGTGGTTGGTCAGTTGCTGGCGCTGGTGTGATGATGTCAGTGTCCTGTGAGCATCCTGCATCTGTGCTGACCAATGAGGCGCAGGGACGCTCGTACATCGGCCGACGCTCGTCTGTGGTGTTCTCGTATCGCCGCAACATCAGTATATTACAGGTCATGACGCATGATTATTGGATGGGGCGCTGAGCATGCTGGGTAATGTGTGCCGTCACTCACCCATGCTGTTTGTGGAGCTGCACCACATCAGCAGACAGGCCGTGCAGACGAGATTCAGCGCGCCGAACAGGAGGATCCTCCACGACTGACACACACACACAGAGAAATCACTCAACAAACAGACAGTTTGAGTGTGTGTGTGTGTGTGAGAGAGAGAGAGAGAGAGAGAGAGTGTGTGTGTGTGTGTGTGTGTTTGAGTGTTTGTTTGTGAGTGAGTACATGTCAGTGAGAGTGTGTGTGTGTGTGTGTGTGAGAGAGAGAGAGAGAGAGAGAGAGAGAGTGTGTGTGTGTGTGTGTGTGTGTGTGTTTGAGTGTTTGTTTGTGAGTGAGTACATGTCAGTGAGAGTGTGTGTGTGTGTGTGTGTGTGTGTGTCTGTGAGTGAGAGTGTGTGTGTGTGTGTGTGTGTGTCTGTGAGTGAGAGTGTGTGTGTTTGTGCCTGAGTGAGTGTAAGACTGTGTTTGTGTGTGTGTCTGAGTGTATGTGTATGTTCCACGGCTGAACTCTGACCCCTACTGTCAGAAACACACACACACACTCTGTAAGACAGTAAAAGGCTTGTTGATCAGTCCCACAGGAGTAATGCAGCATGTGGAGTGTGTCCACGTATCACACACTCTTACGCCTCACTGTAGCATTAGTGTGTGTGTGTGTGTGAGCCACTGCTCTGATGAGGTCATGTGATCAGTGATGTCAGAGCTGGGCTGAATGATGACGGCGCTGTAGAGCTCTACTTTATATATATATATATATATATATATATATATATATCACACACACACACACACATATGAACATCATGATTCTCTCTTCTGCTGATTTGTATCGATTCACAAATTTCAAAAGTCGATTTTCTAAAGTGTTACACTTCTTAATCTTCGCAGTGCTTACAGTTACTGACGTTAATCACAACAACGAAAACAAAACAGAGAAAATCAGACGTGCAACTATAAACACGGATCCTTAAAGGGCCAGCGGCTCATAAACCGTGCCACGCGCTTCACTGATGTTCATGTTTATCTGCAGTATCAATCGATATATACAGTATTCAATTCAGAGATTTATACACACAGCGGTTTATTTTTACTTTTGATTATTCGATTTCAGTCAACAGTATGTTTATTTAATTTGAAATTTTTCTATTATATTTGTCTATTGCAGTGGTTCTCAAACTTTTTGAGGAGGAGGCCCCCTTGTGTAGGGTGAATCCTTTTGTGGCCCCCAAAAGAAAACTCATAACGAAAACATCCTCAAACGTACAATTTTACTTACAAATTTTAGATTGTACCAAAAACAAATGAATTTGTACAATGCTGGAACAACAGTTCTGTTTTTAGCTTTATGTATTTGAATATACAAAATTAGTTAAATTGTACATTTCATTAAATATAACATTTTTTTATAAAAAATGGTTTTGACAGTTAACAGTAATATTGTCTGAAAAGTGCAACAAAAGTATTGAATACTGAACATTTGTGATGTTCATAGTAAAAAGATAAACACTGAAAAATTAATTTGCTGATTGTAAAAAAGTGCATTAAACTTCTTACATTTTAAGGTAGTAAATGACAGTGGCTGAAGTTTGGTTTGCAAATTTGAACAGCAATCTGTTTTTTCAGCAAGAAACAAAAAAAAAATTCTACTCTACTTAAAGAAATACTTTTTCAATATAGAAGACATACAATTTTATACAAGTTTTACAATATAAAAGAAATCATGCAATGCAGATTTTACATAGGACAATCCATTCCAAACTTACATACAGGTAAAATAATTTTTTTAAATAATTTCATATTCTAGAATTTCTTTGCGGCCCCCCTACACTGTAAAAAAATATTGTTGGTTTAACTTAAAAAAGTAAGTAACCTCGGTTGCCTTAAAATTTTAAGTTGATTGAACTGAAAAAAGTGAGTTAATACAATGAAGGAGATTCATTTAATCATCAGAAACTCAAAATAGTAAGTTATCTCAACTAAATAAATTATTATAAAGTTGATTTGAAAAAAGAAAATATGTTGTGATAACAAATCTAGAAAATATTTTTTTACAGTGTAGCGCCATCTAGTGGCCTCCCAGGGGGCCACGGCCCCCAGTTTGAGAACCGCTGGTCTATTGTTTGTAATATGCTTCTTTGTTCCCATTTTTTATTAAAAAAAATAAAGTATAATTGCCAGCCTTGCTTTAGAGGTCTTCACAGGTCCAAAAATTCATGCCCGAACCGAAAGAGACCCGTAATGTGCTACACCGAACCGACCCGGACCCGTCGTTCATTTCAAAAGTTGGACCCGGACCCCTGCAGACCCGAGAAATGACATAAATGTACTGCCCGGACCCGACCTGGACCCGTCTATTATTTGAAAACTGGACCCGAACCCGGCAGGAAGACACAAACCCGACTGGACCCGATTGTCGTCACATATTATTTCACACGAGTTGCGAAAAATAAAACTTTTTGTCTTACCTAATTTTAGTAGCCGTCGTCTCACTTCCTGACGTTATCTGACTGACTGATGCATTACAACCGACAAGAAAGTTCTATCCATGTTTTTTCTCTCGTTATTTCAAGCTTAATCCACTCATTATTATAGCTTTAAAAGTCCACTTGATGTCACGGTGATGGATGACAAATGCAGCCTTGCACATGTACATTCTGACTCGAGTTAACTCGCATAATAACTTTAACTGTTTGCCCTTCTGAACTATAATAACGATTGCTTGTTGAGCTTGATCATATCTGTGCTCTCTGCTCTTCATTGAGTCTGAATCTGACCACCAAAACTTTAAGATTAAACAAGACGGTTCATTATATTTATAAACATCGGAGAAAATGTAAAGCGCGGTTTGGCGGAAGCTCTGCTCTGGTTGCCATAGAAACATGACACACGCATGAGATTGCACTCCGATCGCACGGGTATTACACACAATATTAAACAGACCCGGGACCCGAAGTAATAGATTCGGACCCGACCCGGACCCGGCTGAACATTTAAAATATAGACCCGAACCCATACGGGTCAACGGGTCTCGGGTGCACTGTGAAGACCTCTACCTTTCTTTATTACAGAAGAGTGTGTGTTATGAGTGTAACCGCTTAAGGAACACGCGAGTGTTTGGGCCTTTAGTTTATCCACACACACTTCTCCTCTCCGTAGCTCTGTCTGACGCATATGCCACTAGCCTAGCTTAGCACAAAGACTGGAAGTAAATGGCTCCAGCTAGCATATACTGCTCCCAATAAGAGACAAAATAACGCCAACTTTTTCCTATTTACATGCTGTGATATAGTCACAGTGTGTCCTAATAACAAGGTCACATGAGGCGGCCATCTTCTAACCATATACTGGGAACGACATTCGCTGCTAGTTGTGGCTGAGTTCCTCAGAGTGCTGCGCTAATCACTGTGCCCAAGAAGCAGCACTTCACCTGTGTGATAAAGTGTGTGTGTGTGTGTGTGTGTGTGATGCAGGACTCACCCGCCGGTCGGACGTCACCAGCCGGAACTCCTGCGCACACTTGCCCAGCACGGAGCGGTGTGTTTTGCGGAAGGGATGGATGGTGCCCTGAGGACAGACCAGAGAAAACTACATTACCCACACACACCATTATTGTGGGAATATGGAGCTTTGCTAATGACAAAACTCAGTAACATGCATCCTGATCCACTCTCATGTGCACATTTGGGTCAGCACGGTGATTTTATTACTTTGTTTTAATAGAAATTAATACTTTTATTCATCAAGGACGCACTAAATCGATCAAAACAAGTGACAGCTGAGATATTTATAATATAACTTAGTTATATAATATAACTCCTGATCTTTTGAACTTTCATTAAATCAAAAATATCCTGAGAAATAAAAGTCACAGTTTCCACAGAAACATGAACTGTGTTCAACACTGATAATAATCATAAATGTTGTTTATTAGCATCAGATGCTCATTAGTCTGAAGGATCATGTGACACTGAAGACTGGAGTAATGATGAATAAATTACACAATTTTGAAAGTGTTTCAAATCCAAGAACTTGGCAAAAGTTTTCTTGATTTTCCCCTTTAACGTGAACATTAATAACGCGTGACGTCACATGTGATGTTATGATGAGCTTCACATTATATTTCACACATATATGAGCGAACACGAGTCTCACCAGCACATATGTGTCCGTCTCGTGCTTCTTTCTGTGCCCTGGAGCCTCTGGAGATGAAAATGAAACAGTTATTGATATATTCCACAGACAGTGTGTGTGAAGCGCCCGAGAGAAGCTCTCACCAGAGTCCTTGATGCCGAGCACGTCCAGCACCACCATGTCGGGTTTATCCGAGGGCGACACTTTCCTCTCGGTGACCCCGGACGGCACTACATCGGGCTTATTGCTCAGCTTTCGCCCGTAATAATCAGAAACATGACTGTGATACGGGTTATTATGAGCCATAACTGACGTGGACGAGCCGTCCAGCGCCATCTTTACTTCCGCGGAACGACCTGATCACATGCTTCCCGACAGCCAATCACAGCGCTGCTAGTTATTTACTCGGTTATCATCATAAACATTACTTTATAAAACAAAAAAATAAATGAGAGGGAATAAAAACACAGAGGATGATAAACCAGGGATATTTTTGGCAACACATTACAATAAGGTTAATTAGTTAACAATTGTTAATGTATTAACTAACATGAACCATGAGCTATACATTTGTTTCTGTATTTGTTAATCTTTGTTAAAGTTAGTTCATAAAATACAGCTCTTCGTTGTTTGTTAGATAGTTAGTTCACTGTGCATTAACTAATGTAAACAAGATTTTACTAAAATATTAGTAAATGTTAAAATTACCATTTACAAAGATTAATAAATGCTGTACGTGCAGTTTATTATTAGTTCATGTTAAATAATGTAGTTAACTAATGTTAACTAACGAACTTTATTATAAAGTGTTACAGATATTTTCTATTTAGTTGGGATACAGGCGATCGATCTAGATAAACGACGTTTATTTGAATAAAATTAATGCAATTGATTAACATGAGCAGTATTAATTGTTTAATTGTTAAATTTGCTGATTTAACTTTATTATTTATAAATTTGCGCGACTTTATATTTGACAGGATGTTGGAATGTTGACACCGGAAATTGCGTCATCGCGTATCTGCGCATGCCTGACTCTGTCCTCTAGTCCAGTCACAGCGGTTAGCTGCGGTAAAGCGCGGAGCAGTGTTTACTTTTACACAAACTGAAATCATATTCATATTCATCACTGTATAATTCGCGTGTTGACGATGGCAGGAACTCTTGCACGTAAAGCCGTGGATCATCTCCGCAGTAAAGAGTTCAGAGAGTATCTCATGAGGTCAGTCACTGTTTCTCAATAGCGCTGAGGTAAATAATGTCGATGTTTGAGAGTTATTCCACGGAATACAGTGAAATGACTCGCAGCCACACACACAGACTGCTGTTATGCACATAATAAACAGAAAACAGTAGTTTATCGTGTGAAGGACGTCATCTGCAGTTCCGCTGCACACCTCCAGAGGGCGACAGACCCGCGTCACGACAGCAGTCCAGAGTCCAGCTGACACTCATGGCACTTCGTCATCCGTAGAGCTGTATTTCACGGGTTTTAATTAATTATCATCATTGCTGTCACATGTCAATCTCTGAATATTCACGTTCTCACTATATTTTCATTCCCGAGGTTTAACGGCAGTAATGTGTCTACTTATCGACTTCTGCTGTTACGAAACAATAAACTAACCTGTACCAACCCGTTCTTGTGATTATAGGTCTGAACTAGGGTTGGTCTCGTTCTAAAAAGACAATTAACAGAAGTGAAGTTAAAAGAAGTAATAAAGCAAATGTGCTGAACTAAACATTTTATTTTAATCAAAATATTTATAATACATTTATAATACAAACATTTTGTCAGTTGAAATGTTCAATTTCAAAACAATTTTCACAGGATATATTTTGAGTGTTTAAACTTTCGATGGACTTTACACAACATCATTTTAAACTAAAAACGGAAAACTTTTAAAGCGTGTGTTTGTTTACACAACAATGGCGCTCTGGGCCCTGAAAACGCAAGCTTTTGAAAACGATGCCAAACCATCTCTATGTAAACAACAAAAATAAAACGGTGACGTTGTGCGCATGCTCATGCATATGTCACTCATATTATATGTTTGCAGGTATTTCTTGACACAGTGATGTCGCCACCTGCTGTCCTGACATGTATATTACAGCCTTCTTAGTCATTTTTGCAGATCCATGTGAACGGGATTGTTTTGACATCGTTGTCATCTGCTTTCAGATCATTAATTTATCATGTAAACACCCAGAAGGCCATATTATGAAGCGGGATGTTGACTATAAACAGGCTGATTCATTCCCCAGGGAATTTACTGAGTTTCCTTTAGTGAATCATCTTAGGACACGTTTACTCGACAACGATGAACTAAAAAAAGTGCGCTTTTCACGTACAGAAGACAACATTGTCAAATCGATCCTCGTTCACACGGATCCGCTGTATTCTGCTGCCAGGCCAGTAGGTGGCGCTGAAACACTGCAGACTGAACACGTAACACACGTGTGCGTGACATCACCGTCTTCACAGATTTGCGTTTTGTTGTTTACATGGAGACAAAAACAATATAGCGTTCAAAAACTTGCACTTTGAAACCTGTTTTTAAAAGCTAAACTCCTTCGTCGTGTGAATGAACGGCTAAAATGTTTTTCGTTTGAGGTGTAAGCGCTGGTGTGTAAACGGCCCTGAGTGAAAGTGTTACCGTAGGGACATAAATAAAAAAGTACTACTTCTTGTTTGATTTTGATTTTTCTTTTATTTGGTAAATTATTTCTTTGGTAAACTATTTTGATAGCTAAATATAGTGACCAAAACACACCCATCAACTTTTAGATGAGCTTCCCACAACTGATTGATATTAAATACAACTCATAGGTAGGGTTGGGTATCGAGTATCGATTGGAACCGGGACTAACTTTTCGTTTTTCCCGGAATCGTTCAAAAGTTAAAATTTCGATTCCTAGTTTCGATATTCACAAAAAAAAAAGTTTCGATATTCACAGTCCGCCGAGCGGAAGAAGAAACCGCTGAACAACACCAACGAAGAAGCGTCTACCGGAAGTGTTGGCATAACCACGCGAGTCGAACATGAGTACCTTACGTTGGCGATCCAAAGTGTGGCTTCACTTTTCTAAAAATAAAGAAATCTCGGCAAAATGCAAAATTTGTGACAAAAGGAGTATTTTTACAGAAGGAGTATTTCCTTCAGAAAGGATTATTTCCTTCAGATTGGCCGTTGGTTAGCAAGGTTAGCTAAACTTTTTTGACCCTGCCTCTTAAAAGAATCGAGAATCGTTAGGAACCGGAATCGAAACAAGGAATCGGAATCAGAATCGTTCAAATTCAAATGATACCCAACCCTACTCATAGGTGCAATTAAACTTTAAATAAAGTGTTGCCGAATCATTTTTCAATCTCACGCATTGCTTTACTTCATCAATCAGTTTATAATCTGAATATTTTATATTGAACTATTCATAATACATTACTGACTTCATTTTCATTTTGTAGGATAATTGTAATACTAGTACTGTTTAAATGTGTTCGCCGGTGCATGTTTGCCATGTGTGCTTATACACTGTGTTTTAAGGGGCTTGTGTGTTATTGATATCTGAAGTTCAGGAGTGACTCGAAGGAGAGCAGCAGTGTGAACCGAACCGCAGCGACTGTTAGCGTTGACTAAATAGTTTAAATTATACACACCTTGTAACTGCGTCATTATTTGACCACAGCCTCGTGAACACACACACACACGCCGCGCTAACTCTCAGTGCGTCTTTTGCTTCAGTAAAATCAGCGTGTCAGTCTCACGCCCGCTGCACGGAGTTAACCGCACCCACTTATTTACATGTCATATACACGGATTAAAAAAAATCTGGACAAAATAACGATATATACCCTAGGCCTACCGTAGGGCCAGGTCTCTTCTTTGATTATCTGAGCTCCAGACGCCTGATATTGTGCACTGCTGATCTTCTGTGGATGTGTGTTTTTCTTCTTGTTCCCGCCGGACCTGCTCTTCCTGTGGGGTCGTCCCCTCAGCACGGTAAGTCCTCAGCGTTATGATATCTTACGATGATTATGAAGATTATTATGATCATGACTGTGTCTGCCGTCCGCTCAGCACTTCTGGGGTCCGGTGGCCAACTGGGGTTTGCCCATCGCTGCCATCAGTGACATGAAGAAGAGCCCCGAGATCATCAGCGGCAGGATGACCTTCGGTAAGAGCTGGACCCGTCTGACCTCTGACCTGTAGTGCTCCTGATCACACACTGTTCGCTCGTCTGGGTTCTGCCAAGGGTTTCCTCCATTCTGTCACTGATGGAGTTCTGGTTTGACTTTCGGCTGCTTAGTTGGGGACATTTAGCTTAATATTTAGCAATATTATTGATCATCTGCATTGGCACCATTATATGAGAACTGGAGGATGACATTTTCTCCAGAGAGATACTGTACTGCACTAATGAACTGAATTAATACATTTTTTACAACAGACAGGAACCATCACTGAACTTTATCTCTGTAAAGCTTAGGGTTGGGTATCGAGAATCGAGTATCGATTGGAACCGAGACTAACTTTTCGTTTTTCCCGGAATCGTTCAAAAGTTAAAATTTCGATTCCTAGTTTCGATATTCACAGTCCGCCGAGCGGAAGAAGAAACCGCTGAACAACACCAACGAAGAAGTGTTGGCATAACCACGCGAGTCAAACATGAGTAGCTTACGTCGGCGGTCCAAAGTGTGGCTTCACTTTTCTAAAAATAACGAAATCTCGGCAAAATGCAAAATTTGTGACAAAAGGAGTATTTTTACAGAAGGAGTATTTCCTTCAGAAAGGCCGTTGGTTAGCAAGGTTAGCTAAACTTTTTTGACCCCGCCTCTTAAAAGAATCAGAATTGAGAATCGTTAGGAACCGGAATCGAAACAAGGAATCGGAATCAGAATCAGAATCGTTCAAATTCAAACGATACCCAACCCTAGTAAAGCTGCTCTGAAACTCTCTCCGCTGTATAACCAAAGCTGACCCGACCATGGCCTTCTTTACACTGTCAGGGAAATGTGACCCAATTCTGATGTTTTGCTCATGTGACACAGATCGCATGTGTTCTGTGACGGTGTAAACAGGAAAAAACGCATGCATTTGGATATTTCGAGATCGGTTTAAGGCCGATCATATGTGGTAATAAATCCGATATGTGGTGATGCGACTGTCATGTACGCAGGCAGATCGGGTGTCCTGGGGCTTTAGGCTAGTCTCCGCGGTTTAACGACGCGGCTCCGCAACAGGACGGCGAAACACGTCGCAGGAGAGGATTGTGGACACGGTGGCAACATATCAAAGGGTCCCACCAGCCCTGAGATCTCGCTTGCTGCTCGTCCATCTGTGCAAGGAGTCACATGACTTGTGCAAACACATGACTCGGACATGGGTCACAGTTTAAAGGACAAGTAAACAGATGGTCAAAATAAAAACGGATATAGGCAACAAATCACAATTGGGCATCAAGACCTGCAGTGTAAACAAGGCCTAAGAGACACCGCAGTGTGCAACAGACAGTCTCTGTGAGGTCAAAGGTGAACTCTGGCTCTGTTTCTCCAGCTCTGACCTGCTACTCGCTGCTGTTCATGCGCTTCGCCTATAAGGTCCAGCCGAGGAACTGGCTTCTGTTCGCCTGCCATCTGACCAATGAGATGGCCCAGCTCATCCAGGGCAGCAGACTCATCCGATACAAGTACGGTTATTACCCATAATGCCTACTTTAAATCCAGACTCATCCAATACGAGTATGGTTATTACCCATAATGCCTGCTGTAAAGTCTGTTCTGCATGTGTTCAGGCTAGTGTGGTTCATACAGTAATGTGTTGTGTTCCTCTTCCTCAGCATGGAGAAGAATACGGCCAAGTGATGAGGTTTCAGCCCCTCGGCCTCTTCAGATCAAACTCTCTATTCTGTTTAATGCAAATAAATAATCACAGATGATCCGTTTTACGCTGTTTTCTGTCTCTGTTACACATGTATGAGATTTTAAGCCTTACAACACAGTCCTGGAAGTTTCAGTAGAATTATTTGATTAATTTATTTCCATTCATAATGAAATCGGTGTGTAAACTAATTATGATTAAAAATAAAAAATAAAACTAATAATGCTTTTGCTTTTTTTGACTGACTTTCCTTCCATCATTCTGTTCATCTATCCCTCATCCTCTGACCTCAGGGATGTGATTTTTCCGGATTAATCCGGAATTCCGGATTTTCCGACCTGAAAATGTGACGTACGTGAATCAGGCAGATTTGTAAAAAAAAAAAAAAAAAAAAAAAGAAAAAAAAAAAAGAGGGGGACGGGTGTCGGCAGCCGGAGTGAAAAGGAGAGAATATGAGGACATAACCCATAACTGGCTGATGTGCGTACAGAAAGTTCCTTTCAAAGTATCAACAAGGACGTATTTGCGTTCAGCCAGAGAATGTCTGATTGGTTCAGCTTGTTCACCTGCTCAATTTCGTATCTCTAGTCGCTCTCGCGCTGGTCTCGTTGTCAGTTGACAAGAACATCACAGTTAGGTCACCAGGGCTGGGCGATATATCGATATATTTCAAATTTGCGCTATGATCCTGGCTCCAAGCAAGCTGCTGACTGCTTTTGTATGAATATGTATATCGTGCATTCTGTCAGTTGCAGTCCTGACACCTCCGTCTCAACAGCATTAGTGTACAACGCGACAAAAACTCGCAATATTAACGCAGAGGAACGGCTATCTGTTCAGCGAGTTCACAAAAGTTAATTTGCACGTGCTTTAAAGCCTTGCCGGTTAAACATGTCATTCACTGCTGATGCGCTGTTCTGAGCGCGAACACCCGACGTGCACATGCACTAAAAGCTTGTCTATCAGCACCTGGTTGCTGGACTAAGTTATCTTTCGAGTATTATTTCGCTAATACTCTCAAATACACACAAGGTTTACATAAGAACATTTGGTTATGTCTAAACTGAAAGCAAACCGAGAAAATTGAGAGAAATCTGCTTGTGTCGCGTACAGGTCTTAAAGTGACAGTAGCCGTAATAATACAAATTCAGCCGCTTGTTCTTAAAGGGATAGTTGACCCCAAAATAAAAAATTCTGTCATTATTTATTCACTGTAATGTTGTTCCAAACCTGTATTAATTTTATTTCTTGTGCTGAACAAAAAAGAAGATATTTTTTGAAGAATGTGGGTAACCAGACAGTTGCTGGTCCCCATTGACTTCCATAGGGAAAAATTTACTATGGAAATCACTGGGGTACATCAACTGTTTGGTTACCAACATTCTCTTAAATAACTTAAACAGAAGAAAGAAACTTTTTCAGGTTTAAAACAACTTGAGAGAGTAAATGATGAAAATTAAATTTTTTGGGAGAACTATCTATTTAATGTTAATTAAACAACAAAACACAGAGGAAATCACTCACTGCTCTTGACTGAGAACTTTAATAGTAGCTTTAATAAGAATCAATGTATAATTTATACAGTGAAGACTATATTTGACTTTGATTGAACATTTGCTCTCACTTTGCGGAAAAGATATTGGGATATATATTGATATATTGATTGGAGGGGGGGGGGGGGCACTCGGTACATTTTCCTGCTTTTTTGTCCTTAGCCAATCACATGCCTGTGACCTCTAGCGGCCCCAAAGACCCCACTAACTGTGGCCTCATCCTTTCTTTTTATTTAAAATGAAATTAAAATAAAATTCATTAATGAGTGTGTGCTTGTGTGTGTGAGTGTTAACAATTATGGTAACACTTTACAATAAGGTTCGTTAGTTAACATTAGTTAACTACATTAGTTAATATGAACTAATAATGAATAGCACATACAGCATTTGTTAACCTTTGTTAATGTTATTTTCAACATTTACTAATACTTGATTAAAATCTTGTTAACATTAGTTAATGCACTGTGAACTAACATGAACAAACAATGAACAGCTGTATTTTCATGAACTAACATTAAGACAGATGAACAAATACAGTAACAAATGTATTGCTAATGGTTAGTGCATTTTAGTAAATACATTAGCTAATGTTAACTAATGAACCTTATTGTACGGAGGCGTATTGCATTCACTTGAAGAAAAAAAATCTACTCTGTTTTTCTGAATTAACGAGTTAATTTTTCATGAGAAAAAAAAATTTTTGCTCTGTTTTTCTGAATTAACGAGTTAATTTTTCATGAGAAATTTTTTTTTTGCTCTGTTTTTCTGAATTAATGAGTTAATTTTTCATGAGAAAAACATTTTTTGCTCTGTTTTTCTGAATTAACGAGTTAATTTTTCATGAGAAAAAAATTTTTGCTCTGTTTTTCTGAATTTATGAGTTAATTTTTAATGGAATTTTTTTTTTTTGCTCTGTTTTTCTGAATTAATGAGTTAATTCAGAAAAACAGCAAAAATACATTTTCTCATGAAAAATTAACTCATTAATTCAGAAAAACAGAGCAAATTTTTTTTCTCTTGAAAAATTAACTCGTTAATTCAGAAAAACAGAGCAAAAACTTTTTTTCTCATGAAAATTTAACTCGTTAATTCAGAAAAACAGAGCAAAAAAAATTCTCATGAAAAATTAACTCATTAATTCAGAAAAACAAAGCAATTTTTTTTCTCATGAAAAATTAACTCGTTAATTCAGAAAAACAGTAGATTTTTTTTTCTTCAAGTGAATGCAATACGCCTCCGTATTATTGTAAAGTGTTACCACAATTATTTATTATTTTCACACACAAACTCACAAGTATCATAATCAGTGTGTGGGCTGTGTCTGATGATGGCTTACCGCGGAAGATCGAGTGGAAAACAGAGTTGAGGACATCGAAAAACAAACAACTTGGATAAAAACGGTGGAGCAGTGGAGCCACAAAACGGAAAGCTAAAAGGGAGAAGGATAGCGGAGAGGATTTATTAGGAGTAATATTATAATATTAATAGCGATGCTAGCAAAGAGGAGTTTAGCGCAACATCCAGCCTTGCTATTTCAGATGAACCTGAGCATCAGCACCAGCGCGACAGGTGAAATATGATGTTCCTGTCCATGTGAAATATCTAGAAACTGCATTTATGTGCAGATCACTCACGAGCCGCCTCTAAAGATGCTAGTGTGCATGTGGCCTTGAGGAGGGGTCTCACTTAGCCAGTGACAAACTGAAGGGGAGCGCTCGTTTCCCACACGGCGGGAATTAATAATGAACAGAACGGATGAGTCAACAACACCGGGCAACAGTCGGAGCTCGTCAGAGACCTGGCCTTTCCTGAAGAAGCCTCCAACATCCATCCATCCATCCATCCATCTATCCATCCATTCATTCATCCATCCATCCATCCATCCATCCATCCTTCCATCCATCCATCTATCCATCCATCCATCTATCCATCCATTCATCCATCCGTCCATCCATCCTTCCATCCATCCATCTATCCATCCATTCATCCATCCATCCATCCATCCATCCATTCATCCATCCGTCCATCCATCCGTCCATCCATCCTTCCATCCATCTATCCATCCATTCATCCATCCATCCATCCATCCATCCATTCATCCATCCATCCATCCATCCATCCGTCCATCCATCCTTCCATCCATCTATCCATCCATTCATCCATCCATCCATCCATCCATCCATCCATCCATCCATCCATCCGTCCATCCATCCATGGCAAATGTGATATTACTGAAGCCTGGGTAACACTGATGACAAACTCATCTTGCTTTTCATTACCATAAAAAGAGATATTTTAATGAAATGTGTTTCAGTAAATCGATGGGTCCAGATCAATTTGATACAGAACATTATTTTATTAATTTTTGACAAACATTAACACCAATATAAACTATGCAAATTATCAAAAGGTAAAACATTCATAACATTTTCATACATAGAAAATAGTGACTTTTATCATGTGCAAAAATCTATAGTAAACAAATCCTAGCTCCAGTTTCGGGCAGGTGGTGTGAATCTTTCACGCAGGAGAAACCGCTCTTTTCCTCCGCCTGTAAGGAGTGAACGAGTGATTGTTTCACAAGTCGTCGCCGGTGATGAAAAGAGTACTCTGCATCTCGTTCCCCAGGACAAACCCGTCATCCTCATCCTCCTGTGAACAACACAACCATCATTAAAGGAGAGTGTTGGGGTCACTCCTCCTCACATCTGGGACTTGAGTTACGGAATCAAATTACTTTTTTCCAAGTAAAGTTACAATTTTAAATTTACAACAAAATATCTGAGTTCAATAAGTAACGCAAGTTACTTTTTCACATTTATTGACTGACAGCTCTCTGGTCCTCATGTTGAGGATCATGGGTAGGTGCAGAGGTGTGTGTGTGTGAGTGTGTGTAAACCTGATGGTTATTGTAGTTATAGACTAAAGGTGAGCGTGCATATACTCATTTCACTTGCACAAAAAAGATTCAGTATTCCTCAAAATGAATCAAATCAGTGAAATGCAGAATCAGAATCGGTGAAGTAAGTGTTAAACTTTCTGTGATCCACAGCTGAAGGTTTGTTTGTTTGCTACTGGATATGCAGGAATCTGAATTTTGCAATTTTGCTTAAAAATTTGTTAATTTTTAAGAGAGTAGCACTGCACACTGCCTCTGAAACTCTCATCCATCATAAAAACAATCGTATCGGGTTCGATTTTCTGCATTTTTCGCATCCGTAGCAAGCAGTTTGAATGGTGTTTACAGTTCCGAACTACCAAATCACGAATACAACAAAACACATACGAAAACTTTGGTGTGCAATGTGCAATGGCCTTAACGCAATATTGTAGTGGATTGCTTTTTAAAGTAACTTTCCCCAACACTGCTTATATCGGTTCACATCCAGATAAAACAGTGTTAGCTGAATCATGTCTTAGTATCAGTGTTAGTTGAATCATGGCTGAACGGCACTAAAGTGTGTTTACTTACCTCATCCTTCTGCTTGTAGTTTTTCTCCGTGCTTCTGTACGAGACCACATGGATGAGTGTGTAAACCCTGTAATGGAAGACAACAGGGCTTCAGTCTCAGGTAATCAAGGTCCACATATATATATATATAATGTTGGATTGGGGGCGAGTGTTGTACCTGTGGTAGAGCATCGCCAGGAACTGAACGATCAGCAGAACGGCGAAAGACAGCAGAAACATCAAACTCAACGGCTCCACCTTCATGGGGTCTGGGGCCAGCGTATTGTTCGGATAGTACTTAGGAATCTCGATGCTCAGAACATCACTGCCAATGGCCTGAAGGAAGAACGTCGCTACAACCCATAGGACGTTAATTATGAAGTACAAAAACACGGCCTGCGCACACAAAAAAAGAGAATATTCACATTTAGCAGATAAAATTACAGGCCAGAAAAGATGATTTGTTAATTTGCCAACCTTACCTTGTTTCGTAGAGACTTTAGCTCCCGTGTCACTTCGTCGAGATGAGCTTTGTCGTCTTGAATGGGCTTGAGATAGCGCTCCAGCAGTTTATTCCAGAAATCAGTTTCATCCTGGTAACACAGGGACACAGTTTTCTTTACTTTATATGACATGGTAGCGCAAGCAACTTCATTACCAGTGATGATATGGCTCCATTTAAAAGTCGATCAGTTAATTTAGCCTTAGCCAAATGCATTGATAAACCACTGAAGCTTCACACTACAGGATTCTTGTTAAGAAAAAAACGGGGGAAGTCTTAATAAAAGATTAAGATCCCAAGTCTTAATAAAGATTTGTATAAAATGAACGAATCATTCATGATCGACCCATTTCTTCTGTTCCGACGCGAGTAAAAACACGAACACACTGGAGAGCCGCTTTATAGCAGAACCTGAAGCTGTGATTCTGACTGAAAGAGACACTGACACTGTTTGTCATGTTTAATACTGTAAAGCTTTATCTATTGTATAAAGTTCTGTATGAATAAACGTGACGGGACTGTAGATCTGAATCTCAGAGCTGGAGCAAACGTCTCCACGTCACTGTGATCAGATGCTTTCTGAACCGCTGTTTTCTCATTGGTATTGTGTGTTTATTCTGTTATTGAGAGGAAAGAGCAGATCATATTTACATATTCATATAAATGTGGTCATTATGTTCACTACAAAATTGTGGGCGGAGTCATGATGTTCACTAACAGAATTGTGGGCTGAGTCATGATGTTCACTACATACTTGTAGGTGGAGTCATGATGTTCTCTAACAGAATTGTGGGCGGAGTCATGATGTTCTCTAACAGAATTGTGGGCGGAGTCATGATGTTCACTACATACTTGTGGGTGGAGTCATGATGTTCACTAACAGAATTGTGGGCAGAGTCATGATGTTCTCTAACAGAATTGTGGGCGGAGTCATGATGTTCACTACATACTTGTAGGTGGAGTCATGATGTTCTCTAACAGAATTGTGGGCAGAGTCATGATGTTCACTACATACTTGTGGGTGGAGTCATGATGTTCACTAACAGAATTGTGGGTGGAGTTATGATGTTCTCTAACAGAATTGTGGGCGGAGTCATGATGTTCTCTAACAGAATTGTGGGCGGAGTCATGATGTTTGCTAACAGTATAATAGCTGCAAAGGTTTTTCAAACTTATTTTAAACGAAGGGCAAAAGATAACTGTGAGCCTCACCTCAGATAGTTTCTCAACCTGTGGCGCCACAAGCGTTCTCTCGATCCCCCTCTTGACGCGACGCTCCAGTCTCTGTGCTCCGTTCTCGATG